AGGCAGCCCTGGCTGCTTCACTGAGTCCCAGGTCTCAATTTCTAGCAGTTGCCAAAAGCCAATACAGCCTTTCCTCTTGGATCCACTGGTCAGTGTGCTGCGTTAAGGGTGCGAGATTCACAGGCTCCCATTATCAGCAGCCATTATCTTAGCCCAACTTTAAATCCTATGGCCGTGCCTACTACAGTGTAGAATGGGGCTCAGTGAGTACGTCAGGCTTCAGCTCTCCATCCACGCTTTTCCTTCCTTTTCCCAGTTTCATTTTTCCCTTCAGTTACTGCCTTGGTTAATAATAATCATTATCCATTCATCTGGCCCTTCCCATGTTGTCATATTCTAGCATCTAATATGATTTCTCCATAGAGACTCTCCACCCAATCCCCTAACAAGCTGCCATTTTCGAAACTCTCCTCAGAAAATATTTGTGTCCTGAATTTCCATGACTGATATGTCATAGCACTTACCCAGCCCACAGGCCATGCCTTAATATTCTGCCTCTTCAGTGACCCTTTAGTGTCATCCCTAGTACAGTGACAGTGGCAGGCATAGCTGGAGTCACCTTTCTAGAATAAAGCCAACCTTGCCGAAAAACTTGAAGAGATGACTCAGAAGAGTGAAGCTTCTTTTGTGAACTTCTTGAGGGTCTGATGCTCCACTTTGACAAGCAAGACTCCAGTACCACTCTGGAAACAGATAAGCAGAGTCACTGATGACCCCTTGTCCTGGGAAGCTCCCATGGATAGAGCCTTGGGACTCTTGTTTGCAGTAGAATTCAGAGTGTGGGCTTTGTGCCAGGGCTAAAGCTTGCAGGCTCCTGGCAGATCATCTAAGGTCTCTTCTACATGCTTTCCTCCTCACAGAAAGCTTGGAGACAAAACTCATTAGCAAGCTTCTCCCAAATAATCACATGGGGGAAATAACCTAACTGCTGGTCTGTCACATTCCACCTGCTAAGTCAGCAGAAAATACTCTGACCTGCTCCCCAGACACCTTGATCCTCCTTCCCCTCACAAATACTACTCAAAACTCCAGTCTCCTTATTGTGACATGACATTCAGAGGGGTATGTCTATCAATGATTCCAGCTGAGCTCACAACAAGATATTTCTAATTGCTGGGAATCTCTTTCTTTGTTCTGCAAGCAACCTTTCTTGATGCCTTTCTGCTATGTGATATGACCTCTCCCAGTCAGAGTGTTCCAGCGAGGACCTCAACTACTCCATAGCCCGCTCTGAGTGGGTAGAAAAGGTTTAACCCAATCTGCATGTGTTGTTTAAGACCAATATGTATTAAAATTCCCCACATGGTAGCAGGAAGGTAAAGTTTCACTGCTTCTCCTATCAGGGAGTGACCCCTCCTCTGTATGATTCCAACAAAAGAAGCAGTTTGGGCTTCCAGGATTATTGTGGGCACAGAGTGGGCAAGATAGGTACAACTGTCAGATGGTCACCACCAGTCTTGCTCTTGTGAAAATCTGATGACCATGTCCCATGCAGCATCTCTTCCCACGTGGAAACAATTTGTTTCCCAAATCCCACCATTGTCCCCTCCTAGTTACTCCTTTCACTAATGCCCATTTATCTTCCTGGGGTATGTAGGTGAAATGTAATGGTTTCTCAGGACCTTGGAATAAGGCTATGATCTTCATGGGATATAACACTCCCCTTTGCCTCATCAGGACTTTTGATTTCTCAGGGAGATTTTAGAGATGTCCCTTTGGTATCCCTTGCAGTGAATAACAAAGAGCTGCCTGAGAAGGTGATCTGTAGAATTTCTTATGCATGTTTTATAGGTGGTCATTCATTAGTTAGCAATCCCTTTCATTGTAGGTCTCTGCAATGAAAGTGGAGTGTGGAGCACCAGAAAACCACATTTGACTTCAAAGGAAGATGTTATCAGTCACTTTTGTCCAAGCTAAGGCCTCAGATTCAGAACCTGGGCAGCCTTACTCAAAGGCTTTGCATTAATGCAAAATTAAGTATTCAGATTTGGCAGAAGCTGAATGTTCCCCCAAATAGTGAAGCTGCACTTGGTGACAGGTGATCCGAAACCACAGAGGGCCTGTACCCAGGCCCTAACAAGTCTCCTTCCCTGGCTGTAATCAAGTACCCCAATTACTGAGCTCTCATCAGAGATCTGAGTCTTTTCTCTTGAGGCTTTATTTCCCTTTTTAGCTAGAAAATTGAGTTTTAACCATGTTGTTGTAAAACAGCTCCCAATTTGATCTGGAGATTAGATTTCCCTACACACTGTAGGACAGTCAGTCCCTGTGTAGGAGGTTTCCCTGTGCCTGAGAGAAATGCTGGGGATTTCCATACACACTGTTAAAGTGCTCCTCCTGCAGCAGGCATGCAGATCTCTGTTTCAATGTATTCTGCCCTCTTTTCTTGAATAATCACATATGCACATATACATATATAACCACACGCACACCTCTGTGTATTTGTACATGTGTGCACAATCTTTGTGGGGTGAATCTGATGTTTTGCTGTGTGTCTGTGTCTCTGCCCCATGCCCATTCCGCAGAAGTCACAGCCATCTGATTTTCCAGGAAAGGCTTTCTATGTTTCAAAATTGACTACACAGATACAAGCCTTTCTTTTCAGTTTTCTGTTATGAAGTGGAGCACACAGTGAAGACGACATGAGCTCGCCCCCTCGTGGGGTAATTAACTACTGATGGGGTGCAGACATCTCAGTGTGGACAGAGCCCCTGTGCATGCACCGATGTGCACAGGTGTACACGGGCAGCTCGGCACATGTCACCCTCACACGCCACCTTCTTCACCCCACCCCGAGCCACAGCCACACCAACCCTAGCATCACAAAGGTGTAGCTCAGTGCTGCAAGGAGCAGTGGTGCAGATGCAGGAGTCTGGTTGTACGGTCACTACACCACACATGCGCAGAGTCCTTGCGGTGACCCCTCAAGCCAGCTTGAGCTGGAGAAGGTCTGAGCTGGAGAAGGTCTGAGCTGTGTGAACAGTGGGCTGGGTCAGCAGGAGGTCCTCGGGCAGATCTTCAGGGGGACATTTGTGGGGAAGTGGTTCGCTGGAGACAGCTAGGGTCTTAGCTGGGTTCTAGAAACAGCTAGGAGTAGCTGGAAGCAGCTACAGCACCCTCTCTCCCAGGACTAATCACTGTGATAGGGACCCAAGATGTCCATCTCCTGGATGCAGGTAGAGCCCTCCAGGCTCCAGCTTCTGCTCCAGGAGAGCTGACCACCTGGCTTTGCAGACTTGGGTGCTCCTGAGAGAAACTGTCCCATGGTGCTGCAGGCTTCCTGGAGTGTCTTCCCAAGCCCTCAGGTGCAGGACCCAGATGGTCTGAGTCCCTGTTTGGCAATAACAGTGTATGTGCTGGACTCTGCCGTGGACTGTGGGGACACCTCGCTGTTCCCCTTCTGTGAGGGCTTGGTGGTCTAGCTGAGTGTAGGTCACCTCCTGGGTGCCCTGTGGTAGGGTCTTCAGAGAGAGGCCCAGAGAGAGAGTGGAGCTGGGGGTGGGGGACTGAGGACTGCCATTCTGGAATCTTTTCACCATGCCATCTCCCCATGGGGCATTAGGGTTGGTCCTCGTGACCATCAGAATGTGGGGGTGACAGCATGTCTCTTCTTGGACAGGCCTTCAGCTTGGACACAGCCCCCAGCCCTGGTCACCTGCTGGTGAACACAGCCCTGGCCCATTCTTCCTCTGAAGCCCAGACAGACTGGAAGCCAGACTACCTGCTCAGCTAGCCCTGAGTCCCTGGCCCAGACAGACTTACAGCCCTGCTAACTGTATTGTTTAATATGCAGTCTCCATAACACATCCAGAGACTTACGGAGGCACCCTGCTGAGGAATTTGGTCAGCTGTGGCCTGGTCTGGGGGGACAAGACACATGGTCAGGCCTCAGGTGGACATCAGAGGGCAAAGACAACCAGGCCCCCGTACTCCACCCAGAACCTCCTCAAGTGCTGCCAGCATTCCCTTCTCCCTCTGTCTGCTGACCCAGTGAGTGGCCCTGCCTGCTCCTGGCTGTTCCTCCCTCTGGCTGTCTTCCCTGGGCTGTCCCCAGCCAAGCTGGCCCTGAGGAAATAGAACAACCATATTAAGGCCAGTGAAGGACAGAGGGTCGGGCAGGGTGGGGTCATGCAGGGGCCTCACCTTTCCTGAGGCCTCTGCTCCTAGTCCTTGTGGCTGGGTGGCCCTGAGGAGAGTCACAGGTCTAGACTTAAGAGGGGGCCTTGTTCCCTGCACCCCAACAGCCTGCCCAGGACCACAGCCCTTTCCTCCTGAGACCTATCATGTTTATTCTGTTGCTGGTGATGGAGGCGGCAGAGGAGCAGGAGCAACAGGATCAGGAAGCCCATGCAGACCCCCACAAGGACATAGAGGTGCCCTGGGGAGGCTGGAGAGGTCAGAGCCAGGTTTCCAGCAGACACACCCATGGAGCACGCATTGAACGCACTCACGCTGGGCACTGCTCACTGACATGGTTCTGCAGGAAACCCCAACTGGCCAGCAGCACTACTTCAGGGGGACTTCACCCCTTCCTGTGCCTCGAGCCCTGCTGACTCCGCTATGCACAGGGGCTCAGCAGGCACTGTAGAGCAGGAGCCTCCCCCTCCCAGGAGCACACGCAGGCTGGGGACCTAATGTCACCCTCGCTCTGTCCACTGGCACCTTTGTGGCTCCTGGGGAGGTGGAGTGTGAAGAGAAGTCAGTGGCCAGAGCTGGACAGGACAGGCATTGCAACCTCCCAGCCCAGCTGCCCTCTTAGTCCTTTAGCAACCTTTGCTCCACCACAGCTGGTCCAGAGCATTCTGTAGGGGAATCACCCTGCAGTTGTGCAGCCCTAAGTAGGACTCAGTGTGGTTATGGCCTCTGATGCACCCCAAACTGAAGTGAAGAAGAAGTCAAATTCTCAGCCCCTCTGCCCCATTCCAAGGCCTCAGAGGCCACATGTAGCTGTGACAGGAGCTCTGACCCTGTGGACAAAGTGCTTTCTGCACACAGGAGGCTGAGCTGGGCAGCACCGTCCCCATGCTTTTTGTTTACTTGCCGAGACAGCGAACAGAAGGAAAAGGAAGAGGACCAGGGTCTACACTCAAGTGCTAGAGTCCAATCTCTCATTTCATCTGTTCTCCACAAGAGCCTCAGTGATAAGCCCCTGCACCCTTGGGGCAGGGAGTTTGAGGGGACAGGTTAGCTGAGAAGGGGAGAGGCTTGGAGTCAGGAGGGGGCATGGGAAACAGAGGGTGGCAGCTGGGACACGGTCCAGATAAATGATAACCTGAGGGCACAGCTGAGGCTGTGGGGATTGGGGTCTGGGTGATATCTGCATCAGTCACCACCAGCTCCAGCATCTTCCTGCATGGAGACCAGATAAAGAATTTCTGATAGATGCAGCATTCATCAAAGTGAGGGGGAATCTGGCCTCCATCTGGAAAGATGAAGTGCTCCTCTCATCCTGAACACTGTAAGAAATCCTGGTGGAACACTTCTCCAGGTGGAACATCTCAAAGTCCCCATCAACCTGGCACATGATGGTCACATTCGTGCCCCAGGGTATCACAGGGCCTGGCTCAGCAGAGATGGAAGGTTGAGGCAGGGACCCTAGAAGGAAGCAGAGTAGGGCTTCAGTGTCCACCGAGTAGAAATCACCACACACAGAGATCATTTCGGGGGCAACGCTCAGTGTTCTGGACAAACTCAGAGCTGTGCAGCCACAGTGCAGTGTGAGCTCACATCACATCCACACCTCCCCCTGGGCAGTCTGTGTGTACCCAAACTCCCTCCCCCACCCACCCTGACATTAGGGACCCCCACCCAGGCACATGATGAGCCTGGCTGGGGTCTCCCAGGACCCTCAGAGGGAGAATCTGGGGTCCTGGGGTTCCATTGGGGAACCACTCCCCTCCTGCCCATGGCCACTGTCCATGGCCTGGAGAGCAATACCCTGGGTTTACCTCCATGTTTCCTAGGCTGCTCACAGTCTTGTTTACATTACTGATTATTGTGGTTTGAAAGTCCCCATCTGCCTCCTCTGGAGTGGAACTAGGGATGGTGGGTGTTAGGTCCCACATCTGAGAGGCAGCACAATCATCATGGCAATGATTCACAACTGTGCCCTGATAATGCACATCTCCTTCCCAGAGGCTCCAATGGCTTCTCCATCTCAAAAGTTTGCCAAAGCTCAGGCATGTACAGGTTGAACCAATCCCCTGCACTCTCACAAAATAAATCAGCCCACATCAGTACCCAGAGCCCTATCCCATCAGAGGCTATATCAGGCAGAACCTGCCCTTTGTCTTTTTGAGAGCTGTCACAGCCATTTCTGTGGTGACTCCCTTCACCCCCCCCCATTAAATTCTTTTTTAAAATCTACTTGCCTCTTCTCTTTAATATTCTTGCTCCTCTAGATCAAGTACAAATCACTCAATCAGTTGGTGCCATGACTCCAGTGGTTGGAGGTTGTGTGGCTCCTGGGGAGTCTGTCCCTCATCTGAGCCCCTTTTTGGCCTATGGACCTTTCCTCTCTGCTTCTCTCTCTCTCTCTCTCTCTCTCTCTCTCTCTCTCTCTCTCTCTCTCTCTCTCTCTCTTCTCTCTCTGTCTCTGTCTGTCTGTCTGCCTCTCTCTCTCTCCTTCTCTCTCTCTCTGACTCTCTCTTTCTCTGTCTGTCTCTTTCTGAGCCTAGGGACTCCGCAGCCTTGCTATTTCTAGCCAACACTCATTAGTGACCTTCATCTAGACAGGTCCAAGGTGAGCCTCCCCTCTACTTTACTTTGGGTTGCCTGCCCCAAATCGTGGCCACGTCAGGAAATCCTCGGTACTAGCCTACATCCTCCCGAGACCTCTGTGTCCTTTGGGACTTCCCCTTGTCTTCTCTGGTGATGACTAGAGAAGTCATTGTTGGAACTGCTCTTCTCCCTTGAGGGACTACTGGCTGTGCCTCACTGGAAGGTCACCGTTCTCCACCAACTCACAGCCCTTCCAACCCCCTGCTCACTTTTCCAATTTGAACACATGGATACTAATCTGTCATTACCGGGCAAAACCACTCCTCTGGGATGTGATTACATACACTGGGGATAAAACAAACTCTCAGGCCAAAGAGGTTCACATTAAAAGAGTAACATAACTTTTACTACCAAAATTACAAGTGGGGTTAAACACTTATGTCCAGCTGTGGGCATGCTCTGACCTCATCCAAACCTTAAAGACCTCCCAATTCTTTTGATTCTCTTCACAGGTCCTCCTCCTTTATCAGCTTGCCACCCTGACTCTCTCCTCTCTTGTTTCTCAGATCCCATAGATGAAATACCGTCACCTCCCTGTCTCCATAACTCACACAGAGGCCCCTTCTGCTCTCTCTTCACCCCTACCTTCTTGACCTCCTCCTCCTTATCTCACAGTTACTCTCAGAGCACTACACCACTGTGAGCTCCTCCTCTGTTACCCAACTCTGCATCCTCCTCTCTATCTCCCTGCCTATCATACTTGACACTGCAGTCCTCCTAAACTCTCATTTCATTTCCCAAGCAGCTCCAAATATTCAGACTAAATCCAAAACACCAGATCTCGGTCCTCAATCCCCCCAGGGTGACCTCTTACATATGGGTTCCATGTCTTCAACAATAGACAATGACCCTTAAAAGATAACATTCCAGGACAGCCATACAAAAGGTTGCATTCCAGGTTAAAACTCTAAAGCCAATTTATGACCACAGCAGCAGCAGCTGCAGTGAGCGGCACTCCAGACTCAAGATAAAACACAGGATGGAGAAAAAAAATATAAACTCCCCCATCATCCTTCAAGTGCAGCAGAAAATCAACACTGGATGGTGCCTGCCTTGACCTGCAACCATGACTGGGGAACTGGTGCCATCTGCAACCAATAGTCACACTGGAAGCATAAATGTGCAGTCTTCCAGAGAGCAGGTCAGTCATCACCTTCCCTGCCCTCCCAGGATAAAACACTGCTGCCTGGGACTCATAACCAGCTCATGTGCTCAGCATTGCTGCTGAGGATTCATGGGGCTTGGGACCACAGTCTCACTGAGGTTTCTCTCTCAGAGCCCTGAGTATCACTGGACATCTCAGGTTAAACTTTCTCTTTCCTTGTTGACATGGAAGCCACCATAATGTTCTTCCTGAGTTTTCAGACTGATGTTTCCAGTCTACAGTATCCATTGTAGGAGTTGATAGCCAAGGGACATGACCTCCACAGATAAAACCTACTACTGCAGATTCCAAACCCTTTCCTTACACACATCTATCTTATTATACCAACCTGTCCTGTATCTCTTTTTGATAAAAATTCTACTCCTAAAACTCAATTTCTCTTATACCTTCTCCCTCCCCCCATGGCTCTGATACTCCAATCCCACCAACATATTCCCCTGCATCAGCCCCTCTCCTTCCCTCCTCCCTCACCAACCCTGCAGTCTGAGAAACCTCCAATCTCACTCATCTCTCCCACATTACTCCACTGCTAATTCACCTCAAACACCCCTCATTTTCCCCTTCTTTTCCCAATACCCAATTGACCCTATACATCAACAGGGACTCAAACCTATTATCTGCTGCTTGTTAACTAATGTGTTTCTAAAAGTCACTCACTCACCTTATGACACCCTATTCTCCCTGTCCTCAAATCTAACAGCTCCTATCACCTAATCCAAATCCCAGAGCTATTATCAGTATAATAACCCAATTCACCCGGGGGTACCAAACTCTTACACTATGCTGTCTCATAATCCTCCACGTACCTCTCACTTTCCTGTGTTAGACTTAAAAATACATTTTTCCCTATCTCCTTACATCCAGAATGCCAAGACCTTTTCATGTTTACATGGACGGATTCAGATTCTTTTCAGTCTACTCAACTAACATAGACAGTGCTACTCCCAGAATTCAGACACAGCACTCACTTCTTTAGCCAAGCCTTAGCCAAGGATCTCACAACTATAAATCTATGGCCTACTACAGTCATTCAATACATAGATGACTTCTACTCTGCTCCCCTCCTATGCCACAACAACACAACACACAGCTGCCTTACTCAACTTTCTCTGTAGTGGAAGATACAAGGTCTCTCGCTCCAAAGCTCAAATTGCCTCACCAAAAGTCAAATACTTAGGTCTCATACTTACACTCAGCACATGATCCATAACCTCTGACCATGAATCTCCTTTATGATTTACAGACACCAGTCACAAAACAACAAATACTATCCTTCTTAGGCCTAACAGACTTTTTTCACCTCTGGAGCCCCAACATTGCTTCCATAGCTCAGCCACTATACCAAACCTCTAAAGGGCCTCTTTCAAAACACCTAAATCCCACTATGCCAATGGACATCCATTAAGCTTAAGGAGGCCCTCCTTAGAGCCTCTTCACTTACACTTCCTAATCCTACTATATCCTTTATTCTACACTACAACGGATAAGGATAATGCTTTGGGAGTACTGGCTCATAGTAAAAGACCTTCATTCAAGGCCATAGCCTACCTCCCAAAAGCAGCTAGGTACTACAGTTAGAGGATGGCCTTCAGACAATAACAGTGACAGGCATCCTGACACAAGAAGCAAAAAGTTCACTTTAGGAAAGGCAGTGACAGTCTACTCATGGCACCGTTTAGTCAATCTTATTTCTCAAAAGACATTCCCAGCTCTAATGACCCTCTAACAGCTACAACAAGTACATCTAAATAATACAAGATGCCACTGTCATGGGCTCAACCAGAAACACCTTCCATGCAGCCACCCTATTGCCCACTCCTACAACAGATACAGAGCTAAGTCCTCCACATTACTGCACAGAAGTTCTCCAGTTAACTCATACTTCCTTCCCATATACATGTGCTTTGCCTCTCTCTACTCCAACTTCTGGTCACCTGCAAAACTCAAAGCTCTCCCCAGGTCACCTACTCAGTAAGGCCCTTTGAGTTTACGTAAAGTAGACCGCTGTCTTCCAAAACTTGCCTTCACCTTCTAATCTTCCTCCCTTAGCTGACTACATTCTGGTTCTCTAGTTCCTCTGACACCTTCTTCAACAATATGTAGATCTTTGCCTCCCTCAACCCTCCAAGGAACACACACCAGATCCTTCTTTATCTCCAGGAGACTTAATCTATATTAAAATTCCTAAGCCCACAGATTCAACTTCTGCTCTTCAGCCTAAGTAAAATGGACCTCACCTGGTATACCTTGCAACTCCAACTGTGATAAAAATAAGGGGATTCCTATGCTGGTTTCAAATCACCCAGACATCTGCTGCCCGGGAATCTCGACCCCAAACACACTAAAGGGACTTTATGGACCTCACATCCAATTAATCCCCACCCATCTCCAATTAATATAACACAAATGCTAATGCTTTGCTGCCCTATGTGATTTTGGCCTATGTATGGCTTTACACTTCTCCTCTTCCTTGCAAGTACTCTAACACTCTACTCCAAAATAATACACTGTTCTCCAAAGTCTTACAGTTATCACACTTTTCATATTAATACTATTACTGTTTACATTCCTCAATTGCCTTAGTCAACATGTGTAGGGAGCGGCTCAGAATGGCTGCTGCTCTCCTGCCCCTCCCACCTGAGAGCATTTTGTGTGTCAGCCTACATCTCTCATAATCCCCTCTTGTTGACATCACTTCTGCTTACCTATGTGCCTATGTATGACTTCCTGCTAGTCTGATAGGCCCAAGGCATATGAGGAGATCCAAGCCGGCCCATCCTGTAAAGCCACATCCCCTTTGACTCTATATAAGCCATGTTCACTTCCTGAATAAAGGGACTTGATTGGAATTGGTCAACTTGTCCTCGTCATTCTTTTTGCTTGCCCAGCCCCTCATCCCCATCCCCTCTCCAGGCGAGGCCTACGGACTGATCTGCGGGCCGGATAAAACATAATAAGCTTCCTCCTCTACCTCAGTCTATTCCTTTACCTAACTCTGCAACACTCAGACACCCAAAATGGTAATTGACTCCAACACCAGATAAACTCACTGCCCACAGCAGTTCTCCAACAAGGAAGGACACTCAATATTCTCACAGCAGAAAAGGGGGAATACTATGCCATGCTGGGGGAAGAATGCTGCTACTTTGTCAACCAATCAGATATGGTCAAAAATCAGGTACAAAAACTCAAAAAATTAGCAGCTGATATATGAGGGGGGCAATATTTTCTATAAGCCACCCCTTGGTCTTCACAATGGGATTCCCTAGGGTCCTGGGCTCCCATTCTAAAGCCCATTATGCACCCTATAATTACCACAGCAATTTTTTTTGCTTTTTGCTCCCTGTGCCTTCAGTCTCTTCTCATGATTTATCCAAGCAAGATACAGGCATTCACTACCAAAGAAATCCTGCTACTGAGCAGCATCTCTACTTCACAAGCTCAGATGAAACATGTCCCTCAACCCCATTCCCTTCTACCCTAGGCCCCAACAATGCCTCCTCTCAGCAGGAATCAGGGACTCCACAGGACTCCCTAACACCAAAGAGATGGGGGAATGTTAGGTCCCCCTTCTGAAACAGCACAATCATCATGGCAATGGTTCAAAGCTGTGTGCTGATAATGCACACCTCCTTCTTCCTAGAAGGCCCTATGGCTTCTCCCTCCCAAAAGTCTGCTAAAGCTCAGGCATGTACTATGTTTACCCAATCCCCTGCACTCTCACAAAATAAATCTGCTCACATCAGTACCCAGAGCCCTACCCCATCAGAGCCTATATCAGGCAGAACCTGACCTTTGTCTGCAGAGAGCTGCCACAGCCTTCTCTGTGATGACTCCCTCTGTGCTGCCCTCATTAAAGTCTTTTCTTATCTACTTTGCTTCCTCTCTGTTGTATTCTGGGAAAAATAGCTTCGTTATGTTTGTATCATACCAAAAAAAAAAAAAAAAAAAAAAAAAAAAAAAAAAAAAAAAAAAACAAACCCTGTAACTGGCCTTACTGTGTGTTTTCTTTCCCCTTCTGGGTGACCTAATTGATATGTTAATCAATGCTCTCCTTTGTAAAGAATTGTAAAATCTTAACTAATTGATATGTTAACCATTGTTGCCCTCTACAAATAACAGATGTGGTGCCAAAATAAGCTAACAAAGGTTGTTAATTACTGCTAGACTTGACTATCCTCTGCTGAGGAAAACAGGATTTCTTCTTATCTAAACTTGTGTGTTACCTAAACCTTCCTCTTCCCAAGACATATAATTGCCATGTTCCTGTTCTGTAGTGCACCCCAGTCCCCCTCCTTGCATTGTGAGACCAACAGCTGTTTGTGGATTTACAAGATAAAAGCCCTGCCTTTTAGCTGTCAAGTGTGCAGCCTCCAAATTGGCTCCTGAAGACTGTGTCACCAAGCCCGGCTTAAAATAAAGCCTTTGCTCCCTAAATTTTAATTTCTTGCTTCCTTGGATTTTATTCTGTGGTCCAAGTTATCACACTCTCTTTTAATATTCTGTGCTGCTCTAGATTAAGTACAAATCAATCAGTGGGCTTGAATTTCCCAACCAGAAAGCTCTCTAAGAGCCAGGAGCTGGCAAGAGGGTCAGGTTACCCATTCACTACTCAGTCACTCTGTTTTATCTGCAGGTAAAGGTGATGGGCTTGCTAACTGCTCCAATTTGATTGGTACTCCCAACATACAAATATGTGCACTTAACATGCGCCAGCTAAATATTACCATGCCAACTACACACACCTATGGTGCACAGAACAGTGTCTTGACATAAGTGTACATTGTGGAATGGTAAATCAAGCTCATGAGCACACAAACTCCCGACATCCTCCTCCTCTGTGTGGGGGGAGCACTCAGTGTTTGCTATTATGATTCTCAAAAACACCATAGGTCATTGTTAACCATGTTGCTTAAATGATTTGAACTTGTTCTAATTGAAAATTTGCATCCTTTAACCAGGGTCAAAATATCTGGAACGAGTGTCCTGAGTGGAGTGGGGACAGGAAGTGGCTGGGAGAGAGAAGCCTCTTGCCCCTCTTTCTTGCACATTTTTCACCCACAGGGTCATTCCTCTTTGCCCCTGGGGTCTCCTCCCTGATGCTGATGGTTCCACAAGTGCAGAAAGCAGGGACACAGTCCCTGCCCTTGATGCTGAGAGTGCCAGAGCCACACTCTGAAGGAGTAACTCTTCCCATCCACAGTTGTGCCAGGAGGTGAGTGTTCCCTGGGAGGGTTAGGGAGAGTACATTGTGTCAACTTGAGGAGTTTAGAAATTTAACTAAGAGATTCAGCAGGGAACCAGGGTCCTTTCTTTGTAAACATCCTCAGCCTGTGCAAGAGGAGGACACAGAAGTGGTGTGAGTGCTACACCCACCCTGGGGATAGGGGAGCCTGCATACAATATAAGGGAGGAGAAGAGGCTTGCTCTTCCATACTTTTGCTCTGGCTGCAGCCTTGAGCTGTTGCCCCTGTGCCTCACCACCCTGCCTGGGAGCCAGCTGGTTATGGACTGAAACCTCCATGCACTGTCAGCTAAATAAACCTTTCATTTTTGGTGTGGGATATTTTGTCCCAGCAATGAGAAAAAAGTAAATGAGACAGGGAGTGCAGGGATCTGGCACAGGAGGGAGGTCATGCTGCCTGCCTTGGGGAGCTGGGGAAAGGCACTGAGCTGAGTCCAAGGACAGGTGTGAGTTTCCTGTGCTGAGAATCAAGGGGCATGGGACAGCAAAGTGGGAATGGCCACCTGGAAGTGCTGGCCAGAGGACACAAAGCTTCATCTGGACAGAGGGAGAAAGCTAGGGAGATCTACTTTGGGACACAGTGGCTACAGTTAAAACAGTTTGTGGTAACCTTGAAAATCACCCAGAGGCAGTTTAAAATGCTGTTACCATGAAGAAAAGTCTGTGGGAGATAATGCATAAACTAATTAGCTTGATTAAACCAGCATGCAATGTCTACTGGCTTCACAGTGTCATACTGTGCATGGTGAACAGGTACAGCGGATTTATAATTTAGGCTGTGAGCTGAGTGTGCCTCTGAAAGAGTCATGAAAAGTTGAGATATTTAGGGACAAACACCCCATCAAGCAGGGATAGGAAGTGGCTGGGAGATAGTTATGCCCAGAACAGTGAGCTGTGTGGCTCTGATGGTCTGAAGATAAACTGTGGAAAACCTCTGAGGTAAAAGAGTATTTTTCCTAACACAATGTAAACACAAATCCTTTGAATGTAATTATAAAAATCATGAAAACTAAAGTGATTGGATTTCTAAATCTGCTCTGCAGACTAAAATCTCCCTGGTTATAGAAGAACCTGGACAGTAGCAGCTGTGGATGAATGGAGAGGAACCAGAGCCTGGAGGTGTTGGACAGTGACCAAGAGAAGTTCGTGTCGAGAGGAAGATGGAGCAGTGGGGCCAAGCACAGTTGTGGTCGTCCTGCTCCCCACTCAGGAGAACTGACAGAGAAGTCTGGTCTTAGCCTGCTCCTGTTGAGTCTGAGTCCCCTCTGTGGACATCAGTGTCACCGGGACACCTGAGCCCATAGTGACTGCCATACCAGTCAGTTGACCTGGGAGGCAGATCAACCAAAGGTTCCATGTGAGGACGAGTGGACCAAGAGAGTGTGGTGCAGGCAGAGTGCAACACTACTTGTCCTTCAGAGAGAAGGACATTTGTGCTGGTGGACACTGGATGGACACACAGGGCATCCTGCCCAGTGCACTGAGCCAGCACGGGGCAAGCGCTGTATCTCACCACCCCATGCAAATTCAGAGGAGCCAAGAGTAGATCTGTGGTTCCCAGAGGCCAGGGAGGCTGGTGGATGGGAGAGGGTGAAGCTGATGGAGAGGCACAAACAGGCAGTTAGACCTGGGAAGGAGCCCCAGAAGTCCACTGCAGGGGAGGCTAAGGTCAGCTCATGGTGACATGGTGCGTCTTTCCAGATGGCTAAGGATATAGGAAATAAACATCCTCACCACACAGGATAGGCATATGGGGACTGAGGTGTTAGTGAGCCTAATCTAATTCTCCCATAACATGAACATTATATGGAAGCATCATGTGATAAAGCATAGATATAGACAATTATTATTTCTCTTTTCAAAACAAGAAAATAAAATAAAACAGGAGTGGGCTTGACATGGCATTGGCAAAGCCTATAATCCCAGCAATGGGGAGACTGCAGCCAACCTTGGCTACATAGTGAGTTAAGGTTAGCCTCAACTGGGTACTGAGACTCTCTCTCTCTCTCTCTCTCTCTCACACACACACACACACTCTCTCTCTCTCTCTCTCTCTCTCTCTCTCTCTCTCTCTCTCACAAACACACAGATACATCTATTAGAGCAGGAGCTGGCCTCAGGCTACACATTTTGGGTATCATGACTGGGGACCATGTCAACCACCAGGAGCCTGCTCTCCCCTGTCAAATGCGGTTCACGTGACTCACCCTGCTGTGTGAAGATCCCCTGGCCCAGGCAGAGCACTGGAAGAGAAGCCCAGTTAGAAAATGCGCACCCCCCCCCCAGGTCCTGAGAGGCTTGGCAAAGCCCAGGACTCAGGCTCCACCAAACCAGCCAACCCACACCACAGGGACTAACCTCACTTGCTCTGGAAGACACCCAGTCTCCCCAAGGCTCCCAGCCCTTCCTGAAGCTGTCTTGCCACACACCCAGGTCAATTTCTAGCAGCAGGTCCTCTGCTCCCCCTAAAGAGGTCTGGAGCCCGAGGTCTCCTGCAGGACCCCACAACCTGCTGGCTGGGGTCAGTTTGAGCAGGAAACAGGACCCCTCTCCCAGTCACCTCCCCAGTCCCTTCAATCCTCCCCATTGTTCTGGACTCACCAAGAGCCAGAAGGGAAGTGGGCTGTGGGGCCATGGCCTGGAGCTGAGAGTCCTGGGCAGACAGGGCCTGGAGGTGGTGATGGTGACACCATGGATTCCTCCTGAACAACTTCCTTGAGCAGGGGAGTGTGGCCTCCTCTCTCCTTTCCATCTCTCCCTAGGAGTACAGAGGGCAAACTCCCTTGGGAAGGGAGCTCCCAGTAAATCTGCAGGGCAGAACAGATGGCAGATGCCCAGGGGAGACTCCAAGTCCATGGAATCCTGGCTGAGGCAGAGCAATGTGACACGGAAGCCCCACAGTTCATCACACTTAAAGTGGGAACCACAGAGTGCTCCTGTGAGGGAGAGAACTGTGGTCCTTGTTAAAGTCCCAGTGAGATGGTAAAGACACTCAAAGCTCCTCCTATAGGTAACATTAGAAGGCTCTGGAGTTAAGCATCCTCATACACACGCTGTATCCTCCTAACCCCAGCCCTCCTCCCATCTCCCACTGTGAGTGGGGAAGCTGGGTCCCTCCCCCACCACAGTGGGGAATGCAAAGGGTGCCATTGGCATAGGGAAGGGAAACACCTCAGAAAATTAAAACTACAGCTAACACAAGGTCTAGGGATCCCTGTTCTGGAGGAGGGTGTGAATCTAAAGAAAGTGGGTAAGAGTAGGGAAGACAGCACTACACCCCATGGTCACTGATGGAAACGTGACTCTCAGAGCAAACTGATAGAACTGTGGGGAGAGGACTGGCGGTGGCTGAAAAGATAAGAAGTATAAAATATAAATGATCTTTATTTTGAGAATGCAGGGAGAGACAGCCCCGACCGCTCTAGGGGCGCGGCATCTCCAACCTGGGGTCAGCGATCTCTCCGTGGAACACGTGGAGTGAAGCACATAAGTAGCCTCGGCTTGGGGTGGGACTTAAGGGGGGCATTAGGGATACACAGGTAGCCCATTGGTCTTTGTTTGGCACTAGAGGTAGATTCTTAAGGGTGGGGGAGATAGGAACTTCGTGGTTTTACTGGCTACAGTGTCCAGCC